GGGTGATCCCATTTAACTTCTAATTTAAGTACACAATAATTGGTTAGATTGAAATCATACTAAAGAATTGAAGGGCTAAGGTTTTCCATTACTACTATTGATCAAGTTTGGTCTCTATTTTTAAATATCTCTCACGTATGTTACACACATAAACTTCGTTAGTAACTATGTTTATAATTATTAAGCGGAGACTTGGACTCTTGGAGAGCCGAGTCTAACATTTTACTATCGAAACATGGTGTTGACTACTACGCAAGTATAAGGAATAAAATTACGGGCGTTTTTCGCTACTAGCTATATATAATTTTTAGCGTAATTTGAATTAATAAAGAATTTACGTATTCAGTAAAAAAAATGACACATCAGAAAGTGATAATTTTAAGAGCCTTTAACGTGGATGACTTTTAATTTGAATGTCTCGTTACATTGGAAAAAAAATGAAAAAAGTAATGTTTAAACGATAGACCAGACACATCAGATCTGTATCTAATCTTTGTTTGGGTGGGGTTAATAGAGGGTTATTAAGGTTGCCGGATGAAGCTTATAAGGAACAAGGTTGTTGGTCACCACAAGTTGAATCATGGTCCATGTACAAAGATTCTTAGCTGTCAAAATCTAACTTCAATTCAATTCAATTCAATTCGTCTTCATCTTTAGACCTTTGGTAGCACTACACCAATAGCCCAAGCTAGGGAAATGTCTTGCATAAACTAAGAAATAACTATGTGGTCTAAAAACTTGTACCCAACATACATCTTATTTAAGAAATATTTTGATTTCTGTCCAATCTTAATTATATATGGTAGTTTTATAATCAGTGCTTTCAGCTAATTTGGTATGTTTGAAGTTAATACACCGCCATATATCAAGATATAGGGTGTAGATGCATGTGTTACACTTTAGGTTTATAAATTACATAATATATAATAAATGTTATTAAACGTATTTCATTAGTCGATGTCATTAACTGTATCGTTTTGGACCAAGATCCAACATGATCCCCAGAGTTTCACACCACAGCCCAACCAAATAGTGGAATGACAAATCACGATGACTCAACAAGCTAAGCCCATTAGGTGAAGGACGAATGCTTGATGCCTACAAAGAACTCACTACTACATTGGATATAATTTCCATATTGCTGTTGCCATGAATCAATCATATGTTATTGTCCATAATCTTTTATCTAAGAACCAATTGAGCTGATCATTTGTGCTTTCAAATTAAATTCCCAATACTACTAAATATTTGATCATTATATTCTAGAAAATTAATCAAATAAGATATATTATAATTTCACTTTTCTTTTGTCTTGATCATATTAGAGGTCTCCTAACTTGATTGGGAAGGAGTCAATCATCACCACTTGCAAAGTAATTTTGATTGAGGTATCATTTTCCATCGGCGTAAAAATATTTGGGACTATTCTAATTTCTAAGTAGCTATTTAAATTGTAATCCAAGCATTTATACTTATATTTGCACTATATTCATCATCAATTGTATGTTTGTATAAGCTAGTTATATTCTTCATCATCGTCTTGAAAAACATTATTATGCTGGAAACCATGCTTTCATGTAATTGTCAGCAAATCATATGGGAAAGGTCCACGCGACATGCTTTGACTAAAAGAGTACTGTCAAGACTATAATTAAACTTGTAATTTTTAGATACAAGAATATAAATCATGCTATACTCACTTGACTACCACTAGCTTTTGTGGGAAAAACAAAAAAACAAAAAAAAAAAAACAAAAAAAAAAAAAAAAAAAAAAAAAAAAAACAAAACAAACAAAAAAAAAAAAAAAAAACAAAACAAAAAAAAAACATTATGAGTGACTTTCTTGTGAGACAATCTCATGGATCCTTATCCGTCAGACGGTTGGGTCAATATAAAAATGTAATACTATACTAAAAAAATATAATACTAATCAGGAATAAAATGTTAGTTATTTTTTAAGAAAAATATATAATACTTCTAAATCAAAATGTAAAAGTATTATTACATTTTCATCCTGACCTGTCTCACGACAATAATCCATGAAACCGTCTCACACAAGTTTTTACCAAACATTATATTCTTAATTATTATTATATCTAGGAAGCTAAGCATAGACTGGATTCATGCCACGGATTTAGGGAGATTGGTTACGTTGCACCAAATTGTTTTGAATATAAGAAGAAAATGGGAAAATAAAATTGTGAGGCGACTTTCTATGAATCAGAACCATGCAAATTGAAGTACTTCAAATATTTATAATAATTTGATGAATAGTACGTACGTAGGTGTGAACGTAATAACTGTGTTCATCTGTGCATGAAAATCAGTTTGCAGTGACGTGGAGCAGTGGTTTTTACAAATTAAAATAAATAAAAGTCAAACGTGCATATATATATATATATGAAAAATACTATGTGTATTCTCATTTTTTACTCGTAATTTTTATTTTTATACATAAAATTTTGATATAAATATTTGTATTGGGACACAAAAAAAAAAGTAATTTATTATATCAGTTACAGAGAATAAAATTTAGGAAGTAAGATTTAAGAGTATATGTACTATAACTATAACTATATACTAGTAGGTGCACCCGCGCGATGCGCGGCTATATATATATTATGATATATATACAGTATAATATAATTAGATGAACCAATATATAGTTTGAATGCCTAATAGTATGATATATATACAGTATAGAATATAGTTATTATCTGAATACAGTGTGAAATGAAAAGTTGTGATTTTATTAGACATTGATGAAAATAGTAATTTTATTATACATTAAGGGACTCTACCTATATAGTACATAACAGTATGAGGTATAATATAATAAGAATAAGAAACATAATAAGAAACGTATTATTGAAAGAAATTGTTAATTGTTATTATACATTATTGAAAACTTCTTTGTACACAACATTTTTAGTCTTACTAAGATATGGTACACTTTCACCGCAAATCAAAATTTTCAAACCCCTGGGGTCACTAACTCTTGAAACAGCTACGTATAGTTGTCCATGGTTAAAGACCGGTTTTTTCAACAACAATCCAACTTTAGCAAGCGTTTGTCCTTGACTTTTGTTGATTGTCATAGCATAGGATAGCATCAAGGGAAATTGCTTTCGTTGAAATTTGAAAGGCAATCTAGTATCTGACGGTGTAAGAGACATTCTAGGAATCAATACTCTAGTTCCTGCATTTGTACCGCACATGATTTGGCCTTCCAACACATGGTCACCCAACCTTGTAACAATCAACCTTGTACCGTTGCATAATCCTAATGTGTGATCAATATTTCTCAACAGCATAACAGGTGATCCAACTTTCAATGTCAAAGCATGATTTGTTACTCCAGAACATCTCAAGGCATTCAGGAATTCCGGAGTGTGCAAATCCGCTAACATGTCCACATTGGCATCTGACTTACACACAGAATCACAACTCAGGTATGTCTTACCCTCAGAAGGATTATGGTCATTCATGTATTGGTTAACGGCATCTACCACATCCAATGTTGGAGCTAAAATTGCACTATGATTAAGATATGACAAATCGGCAATTCCCATTCGGAAATTGGGGAAAGTGCTATCAACGATTGTAGCAATAGGGTCATCTTCACACTTTAACAACAAATCTTCTGGAATAGTAATCTCTGATTCCCCCTCAAGTTGACACCCAATAATTCCGTCACCTATATTAGCTATCCATTTTGCAAATTCCTCGATCTCCTTGCACTCGGATATAGATTCAACAGTTTTCAAGCGTAGATTCTTAGTTAGCCTCAGGACTTTACAGGATTGCCATAGATAGGATGAGCTAATGCTCGCTCGAACTATATCCGGTCTAGTACCCTTTGGAATGACTGGTAGAATTTGCCTGAAATCGCCACCCAGAACAACTGTTTTACCACCGAATGTCATATCAGAACTCCTTGGATTTACTAACCGCATCAAATCCCGCAAAGTTCGATCCAATGCTTCAAAGCAGAATTTATGCATCATTGGGGCTTCGTCCCATATTATCATCTTTGTTTGCACAAGAAGTTCCGCCAGTTCACTGTCGTTCCGTATGTTGCATGTGGAATCTTCATTAACAGATATCGGTATAGCAAACCGGGAATGTGCCGTACGGCCACCAGGTAATAACAGCGAAGCTATGCCGCTAGAAGCAACATTTAAAACTATTTGACTCTTAGACCTTAATGCGGAAGAAAGTGCTCGCCACAAGAAAGTCTTACCTGTCCCTCCATAACCCGAAACGAAGAATAACCCACCTTCCTGGCGATCCACGTCAGTTAAAACTTCATTGTATATTGCCTTTTGTTCGTCTGTTAACTGCCTTACCAATTCTTGATTCTCTTTCTCCTGTTCCCCACGATCGTATGCTAATTCTTCTTGAATCAACCTATTTGCAATAATATGGAACGCACCAAAATTGGCCGTTGGCATCTCAGGATAGTCCTTCAAACTCTTACCATGATTAGATAATAGGTTCTCAATCTGAACTAAAGCAAAGTTCATTTTGTGGGAATCGGTCAACACAAAATCTGCATAAAAATATATAAAAATTTGTTGTTATAACCAAAATACTTTAAACTTGACTTAATACTCTTAAAAAAAATGTACGATTACCTCTGTTCTGCAGTTGTGAACGGATTTTGTATTGGGCATCGTCTGATAGATGTTGCCAAACGGCATGCCAAACTATTTCCGGTTTCCCCATGCAACTGCTCATTAGTAATGTCACGAACAATCTCCTCAATTGATCAGCTGACGCCCAACTACTGGCTTCATCTATTGCATCAACATATTCGTTGTCATCATCAACTAAACCCCTTGCATAACACGCATCTCGAAATGAGTCATATTGGACTCCATTTACAGTCCTAATATCTTCGTAACTTTTAGGGCCGCGTACTTTGTTCAACAAACACCTCAAATAGAAGATTTCACCAGTAGCTGGAGGGACATAGAATATACGTCCTATGGAGAACCCTTTCTTTCGTGGCTGCCATTTTCTAAGGTCTTTCTTCCAAAGGAATCTTGTTGGCATCTCAACATAAGTAAGCTCTCTGGCATTGGGGTATGTTTTATTAGCTTCGAACCATTCTAAGAACATGCTCTGTGCTATCGTAGGTCTATTCACAATGTTCTCAACTGCATCATCATCTGCAAATATCACACTCTGTTGATTAGGAAGGTGAAAGCTTAACCTCTCTACCGAAGGCGCACGAAGTTGTATATCAAAACCAAATAGACGCCAGACAGCTTCACACGGGGATATGTACCTACAGTCATAGTACATATTTATCTCATCTACTGCTTTGCCATTCTCGTCATCATTGCCTATTTTGTAAAATTCGGCTGTTACTCGATCATGACCCTTGTTAACATACTTGAACAGGTACTTTATTGACCTTGATTGGTTGCACCACTCGACATTTATATGAGCCTTGTACTTGAGCAATAAATATCTATTGTGCGGTACCACATACCTGTTGTCCAAGGCGATCCCGTTCTTTGTAACTACACTGCCATTGTCTCTCCTTCTATATACCGGGTAACCATCGTCATCAAACGTAGAACTATCAACAAATCTCTTAGGAAAATGTTTAGAGCATCGTGCATTTACCATGCAAGGAGAATTTGTCCTGGCTTTTCCACATGGACCATGCATCATAAATTCCTCTACCGCCTGGTAATACTCAGCCTCTTTCTTTTCATCGGGAATCTCTGCTGAAATTATGTTGTCTAGAGTGAGAACTTGCCTAACTTCTTTACTTTTCTCCAGAAAAAGCAATATATGAGCATGCGGAAGACCTCGCTTTTGAAACTCAATTGTATATATGACTGTAACAACATACAAATAAACATAATAAGGTTAAGCAATTACATAAAATTTATTTAGATTAATTGATTTAAAATAAAATAACAAAATATTACCTCCGGCAACAGGGCCAAATAGTTGATTCTTTCGACAATCAGCTATCAAAGCATCCAACTTAATCTTAAATAAGCGGCAAATTATGTCCGGCCGGTCTTCTGGCTTCAACCTTTGATCTTTTAAAAAGCGTTGCACCTCAGGCCACTTCGGATTGCATGTAAAGGTTATAAATAAATCTGGGTATCCAATCCATCTACATATTGCCATTGCATCTTGGTAGTTTTGTATCATATATCTAGCACCACCAGTAAAACTCGAAGGTAGTATTATTCTACGACCTTGGGCTGCAGGGCTTAAATCACCCCTCGTCAAAGCATCAGTTAATCCACTGTAACTCTCACACCTTAGGCTTTTTTGGTGTGTCCTTATATAAATTAGCCTTCCAGACTCAACCATTGTGTAGCCATCTACAACGAATTGTTGGAACAACCGCTTTGCAAATAATATGGTACTTGGAGCTGACTGTCTAGATTGTATGCGGTAGCAAAAAAACTCCCTGGGGCTAATCCTTTGTCTACCACCAGAAGAGCGCCTGCCGACTACGTCGGCGAATGCAATGTCCTCCCGATAACCATCTTCGCCATATGGAAACAGAATAGGGTATTGCAGTGGTAAGTATGAAGGATTTAATTCAGTAATCCTCTGTAGTTGGCCACCCTTCGATTGAACAATAATATCACGCTCTTCAATACTGGTATCCAGATCGCCAACGATTAAAGCTGCTACTTCAGACACTTGAGGCACATTATATGTCCTAGCATCTCTAGTTCGTTTTCCCAACAACTTTATTTTTACTTCGGCGCATGGATTAATATCCAACTCAGACATAGCCATGCGAAAAGACTTAACCAAGACATTATTTTCATCCAGGTCTTTCTGAATGACATTCACTATTTCTACATGAATGTCATCTTGGTCACCAATACCCCTACAACAACATATACTTGGAATTGATATTTATTTAGATAAAAAATAGTATTCAAATGTGTAATTACGGAAACTTCTTTACCTCACAGCATTTATACGGTTGTTCCTTTCATTTGCCGTGTCGTATATGTATAACTGGGCAAAATGAGGTTCTTTGCCTTGTTCTGGAAGTAAAGTGCCCATTAGGTGGTAGTTTTGACCACTTAATCGAAAAATTGGAGGTGCTCCACCCTTGTTCACGTTCTTGTCAATTTTTCCACCCATGGATGTGAAACAGAACATGTTGTTGTAGGTCCTAATGTTGTGTAAAAATTCTTTTGATAATTCGTCATTGCCGAAAAAGAGATCAAATATACCTTTTGGTGGCAACTTATTATCCGGCAATTTGATCTTCCCATTGTTGCAACACAACATAAACAGTGGCGATGCTTTTGTTGACAAATTCTTCTTCCTTTCTTCAAACCAAAACATAGCCCCACAATGTACGCACTGATTTGTTGCATCGCCAAAATCGCAGTATTGACCTGAAACCAAATATATACAAATTTAACTACTGATTTATATTTGCTGTATATATAAAACAAACAAACATACACACCATTTTGTGGACCAGAGGATGTCCCAATTCCCGAGGTCTGCCGTACAGCGTCACCCGATAAATTTGCATCTGAAATTAAAAAACATTTAAAAATTATTTTTAATATTGAAAGACTGACCGTATGTACTTTACTTATATTTGTTTGAAACACCAGAGGGTAGTATTTTAGTACCAGCTATGTTTTGATTTGAGACATCGCTCACCGCATTGTTACTTTCATCTTCAAAGGCAGGTAGCAAGTCTCTGGTTGTTACCTGGTCTTCGACAATTGCATATTTATCTAATGGTTTACGAATTGCAAATTCATCTCCTATTTGTGTATTGGATTGCCGTACTGTACACATACATAATATTAGACCAATTTAAAGAATAACAATATTTAAAGTGACCAAAAATTGAAACCACTACATTTTATGGTACTGTAAAAAAAATAATTTGGTAGCACGTAGTAACATAAAAAGGAAAGAATTCTTAATAATATAAATTAAATACACCTAACATTATAACTTATGGTAACCTAGAATATGAAATAGTAATTTAACTGTATAAGTATTATTATATTTTAGTGGAAAAATCACATGGTAGACCATGGTCCACAATAATATGTTCAACATTAATAGAAATAAAAGAGAAAAAAGTGTATTTCACTAAGTAGAATCTATGGAATTAATTACACATATCAAAACAAATGAAACTATTTTAACAAAAAATTAGAAATTGAGATTCCAAAATAAATCATATATCACCCAAAAATCCACACATACTTATATGTACCATGAGTTACATTATAATTAAATTCACAATGAGTCTATAGCAATTCAGATTAGTGCATTTACCGGTAGTGATGTTACTCAATGGTGTGATATATTCAGAGAAACATCCTCGCTGGGGATTTGTGTAAGGATTAGCTGTCATACGTTGGTCTTGATCTTGAGCAGTATTATTCGTACAAGATGAGCCACCGAAATGATTTGCTGTGATTTAAAATATACCATCAAATTAAGAACTAATTCCAATAATTATAACTCGAAACAATTCAGTACACATAACCAAATAAAAAATCACTTGCACAACTTTAATACGTAATTGAATATAATTATGTAGACGATGGTCCACATTCTAACTTAAATACAATTCAAGCACGACAAAAACTATATATGACTAAGTACAATGTAATCAATTAATTACATCTAATCAATTAATTACAAATTGATATTAAACATGAATTACATTATAATTATACCATTTAATTTTACAAAAAGCTTCGAACAAATAACAGTATAACGATATTTAAATTAACAATGAATATATAAAAAGGATAGAATTCTTACTATTATAAATTAAATACACGTAACATTATAGTTTATGCTAACCTAGAATATGAAATAGTAATGTAACTGTAAAAACATTATTATATTTTAGTGGAAAAATCACATGGTAGACCATGGTCCACAATAATATGTGCACTGTAAATAAATAGAAATAAAAGAGAAAAGAGTGTAACTCACTAACTAAAATCTATTTAATTAATTACACATATCAAAACAAATTTAACTATTTCAACAAAAAATTAAAAATTTATTTTTAAAAAATAAATCATATATAAGGCAAAAAATAGTGAGATTACAATTCCACACATACTTATATGTACCATGAGTTACATTATAATTAAATTCACAATGATTGTATAGCAATTCAACACCGGCCATTTACCGGTAGTGATGTTACTCGATGGTGTGATATATTCAGAGAAACATCCTCGGTGGGGAATTGTGTAAGGATTAGCTGTCGTACGTTGGTCTTGATCTTGAGCAGCATTATTCATAAAAGATGAGTAACCGAAATGATTTGATGTGATTTAAAATATACCATTAACTTAAGAATTAATTCCAATAATTATAACTCGAAACAATTCAATACACATCACAAAAAAAAAAAAAAAAAAAAAAATTCAATTGCACAACTTTAATACGTAAACGAATAGAATTATGTACACAATGATCCACATTCTAACTTAAATACAATAGCAATGTAAAACTATATATGATTAAGTAAAATGTAATCAATTAATTACACCTAATCAATTAATTACAAATTGATATTAAACATGAATTACATTATAATTATACTATTTAATTTTACAAACAGCTTCGAACAATTAATAATATAAGGATATTTAAATTAACAATGAATGTATATCAATTCATATATTGGGATTTACCATTACTGATGGTACTGAATGGTGTGATATCTGGAGAGAAACAACATCCCAAAGGATTTTTGGCAGGATGATTTGGCGTATGTTGCTCCTTAACTTGACCAGCATTATTCATTAATGATGATTTGAAAAAACTATTTGCTGTATGAAAAAAAAAAATTAAAAGAGGATAAAAACAACAGTAAGTAGAACAGTTAACATTTTTTAAATTAATCACACATAATGCTATTCATTACGCTAGCTTATGATTGTAAATTGTAATTGTTTTAAATAAGACTTACATAATAAGTAGACTTATAAAAAGGTTTTATAAATTCACAACGATGCTATATCAATTGAACTTAGTGGATTTACCGTTAGTCACGTTACTCAAGGGTGTGATGTTTTGAGACAAACCCCCTCCAAGAGGAATGCGGGCAGGATTTCTTGTCGGAGACTGTTGTTTTCCTTGATCAGAATTATTCCTTGATAATGAGTTGCCCAATTCATTTTCTGCGAATTAAAATACAACATTAAATTTAATAATAATCCAAATAACTAAAAATCATAAAAATGAATTACACATAATACAACTAACAGTACATACTTAATTTCAAATTGTTAAAGATTTACCGCACAATTATTTACAAATTAGTGGTGTGCCACTAAACACACCTTACGGATAATCTAATTGTGAAATATATATAACCTGAAATGGTAATGGCTATATAGTAACACTAATTTTATTTGACAAAATCTTAAGTATAACATTGTCCACAATAAATACCATTACAATTGTTAAGATTATATATCTAATTAATTACACATAACAATTAAAAATTAAATAAATAAATAAACAACTATATACATATCTATATATTTATTTATTATTTTATATCTTTAAACTCTTTAAATATATTATTTTCGGTATATATATAATTTTCCGCATATAATATATATATATATATATATATATATATATATATATATATATACAATAATATATCCAATATTATTGTTTATTCTGTCGGAATTTCGAGAGAAGAGGAAGAAGGGTCTACCCTTTTCCTTCTCTTGAGCTCTCCTTGCTCTCATGTCTGAATCGGAGATCTGTTCTTCACCTATCCCTACGATCTTACTATCTTTCTCTGTCAAGCCTAAATCTAGATCAGTCCTAAGTCCTAATCTCCGATTCAACTGTTCTTATTGAACATTTTTCCCGGCGAAATTGGAGTCGGGTCTCGCTTAGCATCGATCCGATTAGCAGTACACAATCCCGATCTTTCCTTTCTGTGAAAGATCTTAGTGTTCAACAACGGTAAATCGTGGCAATCGCGTTTCAGTGAAGGTAATTCTCCAATTCTAAGATTATTAATTTGTCAATCTACACTAAATTTGTTTAGGTTTCCTACTTTTCGTTGTTGTTTGTTCTAAATTTGATCTACGTTTCTTGATCTATGCATGCATATCAACAATCATAGCTGAATTTTTTTGATTTCAGATTTGTCCTCTTCATAGCCATTAGGGTTCTAAATCGTATTTTTTGTAATGTTGCTCTAAAAACACCAAAGAGAAAGTACTCTTAACTGTTTAACAGTTATTTTCAAAATGGTATAGCTATATTATTATTCACACAAACCCTAACCTGTTTTCGACTTTATCATGTTGTTTTTTATGAACATACTGGAATTTTTTGAGGAGATAGAGAGCATAAACAGAACCGCAGATGAAGAGGATGCTACAATGAAGCTTAATTCGAAGTCTGAAAAAGATAAGTTTCGAACTTACCTTTATTTTCATCACTTGGTTTCCTTTTGATGCCTAAAATTGTTGATTTAGTGATTTTCCTCATTGCTCTGTCTATTGTGTTTACTTGAAAATGTAGATGTGATTTGTGTCTTTACCTTTGGTCTGAAACTGGAGAACTGTGTTGGTAGTTAGATGGGGCAAAGCTGATCATATGGCTTCATTGTACTTTATTTTACTTTTGCCTGGTTTTTGAAAATAGGATTGGAACTGAAGAGTTTTCTCTTAATAGTAATGATAGCAGCCCATCAATTGTATTTAATGTTTAGGAAATGTGTTTCTTTTCCTAAGAATGATTAAGTAATACTTAACAGGCCAATATTTCCCACTGATCCAATTCTTTAGCTGATTTGTAAGAACATGGAACACACACCCAATTACTCACTGGTTCTAGAACTATTCATTTTTCTCTTATGGCAGTGGCTGACATTATTCTTCAAATAAAAGTATATTTTCTTTTTTTTAGTTAACACACTAATGTTATTTAATTTACCAATCTTGAATTGTAATGCTGTTATGTAATTTCTTTCTAAATGTGCCGGACAATTTATTCAATGTATGTGTTGGTATTATTTATTCTTGACAGAAAGTCTAACTTTTTTTTTATTCTTTTTAGATCAATTGAAGAGCAGCAAGCAGAAAATAATCACTACGGCCACATCATAAAATAAGTTAAGACTATATCTTGATTGGTGTTACATTAGATGACTTTGCACTGTTATAGTTGCACAGTTTGTAAGACTGTTCTAAGAACATTGAACACATACATGGATTATTTGATTGTACTTAATGATTATTATGAACACATTCTAACCATTTTAATTTTTTTGGGTATTTTTTTAAGAATGGAATAATCCAAGCTATGGAGACATTGAAGAATGGGTCCCAGAAAAGAAAAAAGCAATCAAAGACCACTAAAAGCATTATGGTCATATAAGCAAATAGGTTAACACTTTATCTTTATTTGGCTGTCTTTAGATTAGTTTGTATGCATATACTTGCATAGTTTGTAACTTTGTTCACTTTATGCGAGTGTATGCTTTTCCTCTTATTAAATATCCTGAACACAAATTCTAACAATATTTTTTGTTGTTATTCTTATTAGAATGAAATCATCAAGCTTTGAAGAAATTGAAGAGCAGCTGTCATAAAAAAAACAATCAATCAAAGACCACTAAAAGCAATAGGGTCATACAACGAAATAGGTTAAGACTTCCTCTCTACTTGGCTGTAGTTAGATTAGTTTGTATGGATATACTTGCATAGTTTGTAAGTTTGTTCACTTTAATTTGTAAGGCAATATTGTTCCATCACTGGCCTTTAATTTGGGTGCATTGTTTGGTTCTATATAAGTATAGAATTGAGTAATGTTAGCAAAGTAATGGTAATAGCTTTTTTTTTTTCTCTTTGGTCAAAACTGGTATAACTATTCTGTATATATCATAATATTCTTTCACTGTGTTATATTGCAAGCACTAACTTTATTTTGTAAATATTAGACACATTCAGTAAAATGTCCTTGTTCGGGAAATGGTGCTCGACTATCGACCAAATTCCTTTATTTTATTAATAATTATATTGTCTTTGACATCTTGTTTTTGATGCAGTATTTTAGACTTGGTTCATCTATAAGTGATTTTTTTTTGCATGATAAACTCTTTTTTTAAAAGCAGATTCTCATTTTTTTTTGTCAAAACAGTAATATAAATTCCTTTTTTTTTTTTTACTATTTGCTTAAAACTGGTATAATGTTCTTCTATGTATAAGGAGATTATTTAATTGTTTTTTATTGGCAGAAACAAATTTATTTTATTAATAATAGACACGTTGAAAAATGTCTTTGTGTCACAAATGGTCCTCAAGTATTGACAGTGTTAATCAATTTGTATTTCTATTATATTTGACATCTGGGCTTTTTTAAATTATTGGATTTTATATTACTATAAAAGTCAGATTTGTGTAGGATAAAAACATTTTTCCGTTTAAAGTAGAATGTTTGTTTTATATCTACATAAAACAGTAATGTAAATGACTTACAAAATTCTTCTTTTAGTTGCTTTTATCTGATTTCTTTCTAAATGTGGTAGAAAACATTGATGGATTCCAGCTTGAACATCAGTTGTTTGGATAGATGCAAACAGAGTAAAGGAAGATTGTGCAAATAGGTAATTGGAACTAACACCCTTTTTTTACATGACCTAAATGACTTGACAAAATTCTTCTTTTAGTTGCTTTTATCTGATATCTATTTAAATGTGCTAGAACACATTGATGGATTCCAGCTTGAAGAGCAGTTGTTTGGATAGCTGCAAACGGAGTAAAGGAAGATTGTGCAAATAGGTAATTGCAACTAACACCCTTTTTTAAGAACAGTACATTTACATGTAAAGTTTTAGAATTGCATACACAGTCAAGCTGATTGTGCAAATAGGTAATTGAAACAAAATATATTTTATACGCACTTTATATTTTAGATATAAAGTCTTAGAATTGGGAATAGGAACATACAAAGAACACAACTTCAAAGTCTAAATTGCTTGGCAAACTATTTACATCCTGTGGACCCCTAAAACCGACTTTGCTTGCCAAACTATTTCAATCCTGTTTGCCTTCTAAAAACTTGGCCACCTAGCATGTTTGCTGCAAAACAGGCACAACATATTTAGATATAAAGTCTTAGAGTTGGCAATAGGAACATATGAAAAACACAACTTCAAACTCTAAATTGCTTACCAAAGTATTTCCATCCTGTTTGCCTTCTAAAACCCTAAACCCTAACATCTTTGCTGCAACTTGGACACCTTTCATCCTTTTTCTGAAAAACCTGAAAGGAAAAATAGAAAAACTCCAAAACAGGTTCGAATAGCAGTACATACACCAATTTATTGTACTAAACAGTTAGGAAATTACTAAAAGCATTAGATAAAAGTTATAAACCATCCATAAAACTGAAAATAAAAAATTGTCACACCACAGTATTAGGAAAAACAAAAAAAAAAATGTCTGGATAGTGTCCGGCTATCAACAATCTCTTTCAACCATCAATCTCAATTACATCTTTTCCTTTTTGATTTCTGAGTCATTCAACTTCTTCCTACTTTTGGATGATGAAAACTCATCCAAAAGTGACCTTTTAATAGCACCAACATTTTCTGCATTGTCTTCTCCTTCCTTTTGCGAGGGCTCGACAGTCGCAGGACTGTTCACTTCAACCCTAATCGAATCTTCCTATTAGAAAGAAAAGCAGACAACACTATTAGTAACCAAAAAAATAAAAAATCTCAAAATTTAGTGTTAGAAATTCTTACTCCAGAAACTGCATCAGTGTTAGTTTCCTCATCAATCATCCTTGACATTAAGTCTTGCTCTTCATGCTCCACAAATCTGTCAGCATACGTCTTAAGCAAGTGCTCATCCCTTACAACCCTAACAACATTGAATGGGTAATTGGGACCCATCTATTGGGCAAGTTTGAAGTTGATCTTAAACAGCATCTTCATACCAACTATAGCATCCAATTCAGGGGGCACTTCAACATCAAGCTGTTTTAGATAGTGAACAAATAACCAAGTTAAGAACAGATAATGTAAACAGTTTAGGCCAAAAAATGCAGACATTAGGTAATAAGAATTTACCTCCTTGTATTTTGCATACAAAATAGAGGCAGGAATACCCACAAGCTCTGTAACTTCCCTATCCCAAAGCAACATTGGAGCATCTCCAAACTTGTCAAGAGCAATAACAACAACTTTGTACCTAACTTGACCCATCATACAATTCTTCTTACACTTAGTACAGAAAAGTGTCCCTTCCTGTTCTTTAAGCTTCTTATTACATCCAAGTTTCAGGCATGATAAGTAGTACCAACCATCCTCAAAATCTAACCCGAGAATCTCAGCAGCAACATAATAGTCCCCATCCTATAGTATTCAAACAATTTCATAAGTATATATAACAGTTAATAATTTCAGTCCCATCAAACTACAGAAAAGATCGATAGCTTAGTATGTGGATTACCTCTTTCACCTTCTTAATGTCATGGCAGTTAGTCACAATAACAGAAGCATTATGAAAATCACTAATGCCTGTAGAGTTGGAATGCAGTGTGCCAGTACTGAGACTCCGCATTGGAGTACCCTGAGCTTTCATGCTTCAAAACATTAGAAACTTAGTTAGATGTGTCTAAAACAACTTACAAAAATAGAGTAGACAACATTTAAACTATCTATCTTTTATTTAGATATGCAGTTCAGTGTACTCAAATATATTTGAGTACACTGTACAGCATGGTATTTAAGTATATATACACAGTATATTTTTTTTTTTTCTCCATTATTCAGATGATAAAAATGAAATATATGGATTGTGTTAATTCAGAAATACAAAGTATAGCACAACATTAATAAAGATAGCAAGACAATTAGCAGAAAACTAAAAAATAGGAGAAATATAAAAGATGGAACTTACTTTGACCTAAACTCTTTAAACTCTTCCAATCCTCATTAAACCACAGCTTCCGTAGCATCATAGGAACTGGTTATTCTCACTTCACCTAAAAAAAAATGCATAAAATAGAGAAGTGTATTTTTAGAGGTATATTATGATATATATTATGATATAAAATACAGTATTTGAATATATAGATTAGAAGAAAAAACAGTATAAAAACTCACCACCCACAACTTTGGCCCTACAGCATTGAATTACAACAATCAGTGGTTCTTTAGAATCACTATTGTAAAAAAGGCATCAGGGAAGAAACATGTTCATTCCACAGTGTACACATGATGGTGTTATCACTACATTAGAAACAGAAAAAAACCAAAACTATTAAAAAAAAATTGCATGAATTTATAAGGTAATCAAATTTATTTTAATAAACTTACGCATTGTCTTCAAGTTGGAAGTCTATTAGTTTGGTAGCCTTTCCCCCCACAATCTTGTCAACAGGATTGTAAATCTCAGTTACCCTTCCAATAACATCTGCAAAACGAACAAAATATTAGCAGTATTATATTAAAAGTATAATAAAGAAGATATTAGCAG